GATATTAGTAATGATGATCCTTTTTTTTGGATCAATCAAATTGGTTTTTTTCAAAAGGGATCAATTCGAGTCAATCTTCTTCAATCAATTTTCATGGTTGATCACTTTTAACACATATAATATGCATGTGCGTATCTGTATATAGAAATTAATCAAGTAGTCACAATATAATGCATAATAATATTTATAAAATAATAATTAACTACTTCAGGATCAAATCTAAGATGTTAGAAAGAAAATCATCTCGTATCCATTCCTGTACAGATACACACATGCATATTATATATATTAAAAGTGATCAACCATGAAAATTGATTGAAGAAGATTGACTCGAATTGATCCCTTTTGAAAAAACCAATTTGATTGATCCAAAAAAAAGGATCATCATTACTAATATCAGTAGAGCAACTTGTGACAGTGTTTGATCCTAAACTAGAACGCAAGTAGAAATGAAAATTCAGGGTAATTGGGTAAACATAGATTGTCGAGTCCTCTCCAAGACAACCTATGTTTCCATGCGTTTTTGAGGCTGCCAAAAACCATGGACTATTATCATCAGCTCCATGGCATTTTTCCACGGGCGACTTCGTGCCGTGTCGTATTTCGGTGTAAACCTGTATACTTCCAAGGATGTTTTGTAAAACTCTTACAGTGCCTTTGATCTGGTAACATCCGTCTCCTTTTTCCGGATCCGCCTGCAGCGGTGCGTTGTTGATGGCAGGAAAATGGATTCGTTCGTTTGGCGCTGGATCTGCAATTGACAAAAAGTTGTTATATAAATAATCTTTATTCCATGGACTGCATTCTTGTTTTTAGAATAGCCCTTTTCAATTCACGCTTTACCCCGCCGCGCTCCCAGAAGAAAGCCATTCCGTGCGCGCGGCAGCAGGGAATAATAACAGCGTAAAGTTTCCCGCGGGCAGCGTAAAATCATACACACACTGGAATGAGAATCGCTCCGGGTATCCTTAGAGACCGTTTTCGCTGGTGTTCATGAAAATACCGCCAAACATCAAAGGAAGGTGATTTGAAAAGGAGCAGTTGGTCTTTAAAAAATAGAGCCATTCGTTTATAGAGGCGTGCAGTCATTCTGGGTGGTATCGATTAGTTTAAAGTTTTCGATTCGAGAGAGAGTTTTGAAGTGCTCAAAGTGGAGGACATTTGGGGCTAACCTAGGCTAGAAATCGACTTCCAATCAAAACCTGAGCTGGACAGAGAGAGCGAATCGTTCAGAGATTCATTTTGCAATCGAGCTTCTAAGACGAAGTCTCACCTGACTGCGTTTACAGTTCCTCTCCAAGTCAATGGAACTTTCTATTAGAGCAACGAAAGAATACAGTGTTTCCTCTTTTTCTTTTCGTACGTTTTATGTTTTACATTTATGAGCTAACTTTAACACTTTTTTTCAGCTTTTTCGACTCCTCAAAAGATGGCTAGTGCCATTACATTGATGAAAGTTCAATATGTTCTAATGAAACACGATTAACAAGATCGATAATGACAACTATAGTCCAGGACAACAGTGTGAGTCGAAGTGCTCAAACACATATGAATATACTCAACTTTAAATGCTCTATCCGAATAAAATTGTTTCACACAGCTACAACGTCGGGAAAGAACTGAAAACTTAATTTTAATCCAAAATTTTAGGGAATTCAGTTTTCGACCGTTCTCCAGTATTTTCAAGATTCTATCTCGAAAAAGTGAGCAAACAAAACTTTAAAGGTGATATTCGGTATCAGGGTTTCAAGCTCTATCCAACCATGTATGCTTAAAGAAAATCTATTTTTTGCGCAAGTTATGAATTACGCGCACCTTACTCAAAGTATACATGCTGGAATAATAAAAGAAAAAGTGAAACAGGAGCTGTTAGTCAATGGATATGAAAGTAGAAGTTCATTGGATTCGCCCAACTTAATCTGTTGAATTAGTTCATAATGCGAACGCGATCATCTGGATAGCCAATGTTAACATGAAGAAGCCATGGAAAGGGGCACTTGGTGATATCAATTTGTAGTGTATATTGTTTGCTGGAGCGAATATCCTTCATACGCAGTAAATGGTTTTCACAATCGAATTCTAAGTCGATCATGTCATTTTTTTGACAGTCCGAAAGATAGCCACCATGTCCTGGAGTGTTCGTTCCAGCAATATAGACATGATTGCTCCATGCTACTGCTACCCATCCAAAAGACGAAGCCGATTCAAAAGAGTTGTTCTGCATTGGTGTTGCCTTCGAAATAAGACCAAAGAAGATCCAACTTCCTGCATCGGAATCTTCAATTTTCAACGTAATTCGATGAGTGCCAGAGGTGTATTCTTGTTTTCCTCGCACTTCTGCATGTCCCCTACTGAGAATATGAACAACAACTTCACCTTGTTCTTCGATACGAGCTGGACCGAGAACTTGATCGAATGTATCATTTTCATGACGTAACACTCGAATTTTGTTAATAAACTTGGTCGTATCATCTTCGTCCACGGTGATGAAATGTGGAGTTTCGAGTCGCTGCTTTAGTTCGTTCAGTTTGCACTTCCATGAGAACAAGTCCCCTTCATAAAAACCATCTTCTTCTTCTCGTCCTTGTTTGAGTTCTAGTGCCACTTTGTGCAAGTCCGTTGAAATGTTGGACGAGTTGGAAGAAGTAAGAATAGCCATGAGCTGTTTTCGTGCCTCTCCCGCTGCTTGCCTTATTTTTTGCATTGACTCATTCTCCCACTCGTTGATGAGCTTGAAAAGAGGGTGAGAGCGAGGCGCTTCGGTCGTCTGATTCAATGTTTGCTCAAGTTGATCGTGCACTCCTGTCAATACATCGAGCTCATGGGCTAACTTGTCGCGATAATCATTGAAATGTGGTCGACAGTAATGGTTGAGACATCCTTTACAACGTAAGATATCAATGTTTTTACCACATGTGGCACATGGTGGTGGTTTGGTTGTTGACGACGACGACGCCATCCTCCTTCTTTCTACTACCTTTACGTGTTTTGTTTTTCGTCGATACAATGAGAAGGAGAGTTGATGTTTTATGAGCTTGTTTGCTTAAGATATGGTGTGTCAGTTTCGAAAAAAAATTAAAAACAAAAAATATGTGGAAATAAAACTTCAAGAAAATAAAGATGACAGTACAGGTTTTACTTTTCCAGAATTCTTTTCCTTCGACATTAAGACAGTAATTCTAAGAAAACATATTTGGCGTATTGGAACATCCTCACAATTAACGGAGCAACAACGTGAATGCCAATATTTTTCAGATTAAATTGAAACTACAACTACAAAAAAAAGCTGTTGCCACAATCCCTGCGTTACCAAGGCTCTCTGTCACGTCTGTGTACAATGTTGCCTTATGCATCACAGATTGTTTTCGAGAGTATCATACTTTGAAAGTATATTAATAAACTCGAATAAAGGATAGAATTAATTAGCTTTTCAAAAGTTTATTCTTATATCGGGTGCGGCATAAAGAATGATACCGTGAGTAGTTCGTCAATATTTCGATGAGTTTTCATCGTAGAGACTTGAGCACAATGTTAAATGCTTCTTCATTAAATTCTCTACAAAACTATAAGAAAAGCGCACGCACAATAAGTAACTGCGGATTTATAGGCTGTCAACACTGCTATGGTTCAAACGGGAGCACTTTCCAACCACTATTACGTTTTGTTTTATTTTTTCGCCGTACTTTCGCCGCATAGAGAAAGACGGAATATGCCATTTTGTAGCCCTTGCAATTGTCTATCAGTTGGGAAGCGACTGATAAATTTTTCATTCGAAGCCTTTGTGACCGAGGCCTTTTTCCTTATATTTCATATTCGGTTTTCTACGCCCTTCTAATGGGGCTCATTGTAAATTTTGTTCAGTTAGGACAAAGTGTAACGTTTTCTTGCCAATTTTGTTCTGCAAAGATGCATAAAAATATTTTCTGTATCATCTCTAACCAACCCAGCTAAAGTACAAGTCATCTTTTGGCACCCATACTGTGCGATAGAAAAATCCTGCCTAGTTCCAGCTCGTTTTCAAGGAAATCTGCGCCAGAAAACTCATTGTATTGTCTAAGAGAATCATTTTGAGCGCTGTGAGAAAGAGCACGTCCGAAGACATGGAAAAATTCACATCCGAGTGCCTTCGCGTCTGATAAGACAGAATCAGAGAGATAATTAATCTTCTGAAAATGTGCGTTGGAAAATGCTTCCGTTTGAACCATAGCAGTGTTGACAGCCTATAAATTCGCAGTTACTTATTGTGCGTGCTCTTTCCTTATAGTTTTGTAGAGAATTTAATGAAGAATCAGTTAACACTGTGCTCAAGTCTCTACGATGAAAACTCATCGAGATATTGACGAAATACTGACGGTATCATTCTTTATGCCGCACCCGATATATTTTTCAAAAAAGTCCTGGAAGGGTTAATTTACATTTAAGAAAAAATTCCTTGAATTGCTTTTTACTCAAACTTCTCATCTGTAAAGTGATGAATGTCATATATGAAAATATTTCAAAAAGCTTTTTCTTAAATATGTATCAAAGCTTTTCTAAAATTATCAGAAATGTCTGAGCAAAAAGATACATCTTTTTCAGCATCTACCTGTAGTAAAAATTTCAAGTCCATCCCACATCCTGTTTTAATACTGTAATAAGAAAAAAGGAAGGGACCTTTAATACTCCCTTAACTTACCCAAATTATACAATGTGTAATAACGATAAATTGTTTTGAATGTCTTCTTATCGCTTCAGGATGAAATTTTCGTTTTCTGTTTTTAATGACGCTCATACATACACATTGATCAACATATATCTATAATGAGTTACTGTTTACATAAAACGAAAAGATGCAAAAATAGTGATCCTATTGATCTTTTAACTTTTCGTTTTTTCAGAACATTTCATATTGAGTACTAAAAGGTGTTGTCTTATTTACTTATAATTTCGATTTGCTTCTAGAAAAAGAAACTTTTCATAATGAAAAACAAATAAAAGTCATCTGTAAAGTGGTTTCTATTTTCTAGAAGCAAACCAAAATTATAAGTAAATAAGAGAACACTTTTAAGTACTCAATACTGAAAAATTTTGAAAAATCGAAAACATAAAAATTAAAATCTCAAATAATATCACTATTTTTGTGTATAATATCACTAAATGCGCGTTGGAAAGTGCTTCCGTTTGAAACGTAGCGGTGTTGACAGCCTATAAATTCGCAGTTACTTATTGTGCGTGCTCTTTTCTTATAGTTTGTAGAGAATTTAATGAAGAATCTTTTCAGACTAAGCTCAAGTCTCTACGATGAAAACTCATCGAGATATTGACGAAATACTGACGGTACCATTCTTTATGCCGCACCCGATATATTTTTCAAAAAAGTAAAAATAGCCGTATTAAACAAAGACAAAAATTTCCAAGGAGAGGAACATTATTTCTGGCTCACCCGTTAATCGATCGAAAATCTTCAATGCTTCCTTTTCCTGATCTTCGAGATAATGCACAGTTCCTCAATTTTCGTGTTATACTAATACATGAATCATAACTTTTTCCCATTTGAAGTGACTATTTAAAAGAGCTTAATGCTTGTTCATATTTGCCTTACCTTAGTGGAAAAGTTCCTATACTATCGCATGCCATAACGGGAGAAGGATGATCTTATTGAAAAGAATTAAGCTGTATTATTTTAAGTACTTTTTCATAGTAATTTAGTGATTCGTCATGTTTTCCTTCCATCGTAATTAAAAGCAATGACTTTTTCCTCTCTTCGAATAAGTTGGGACTGATGTCCCTGGATAAGCTGCGAAATCGGATTAACGTTTTCTATCGTAGTCGGACCATTTGAAAACTGTTAGTGCGCTGCTTGAAACTAGTAAGAAACACTCAGGAGAACGAAAATTGCTCACACAAAGTTGCTTGCTGCGAAAATTACTCGCTCTGTAAATTGCTCGACCTTTTTTTAATCAATTTCAAGAATGGTACCTGATGCTTGACCACCCAATCAAAAATTCTTTTGATTTTGATCAATTAAGAGACAGTCCGTGAGAAAACCGCGTTTTCTTGACATACTTTCCACCTCCTCAATTTCAAAATTCGTTTTTGATCACAGATTCTGAAAGAGCGTATACCATTTCGTCAGAAAACTATTAAAAATTCTTTTTGAAAACCCTTCGGTACCGAGCACCGGATGTCTGAACTTTGGGAACCATTAAAAGTGATCATTTTCGTACTTTTCAGTATTATCGCTGTAATTTTGTGATGAAAAGGGCTACAGAGTTAGTTGATATTTTGTTTGATAGAGGATCAAATAGAGATTTAGTGCTGAAAGGCGAGGGTCATTTCGATTTAATCTCGCTTTCCTAGGGTCAAAACTTCGAAAAAGTGCATACATCGAAAAACTAGTATTTTCGGTTAAGTAATATCCTAGTTTTTTGCGTCTGCGTCCAGATTTTTTTACCAAATGTTCTTTGATTGATGACGCGTTGAATGAGATATCATTCGACCAAAAAAAAAAAGTTCAGGAAAAATTTCTAGTGAATCAACAACGTGAGGAGAAAAATGACTTATGTTCGAAATAATGCAGATGAGGTGCATATCGCCGCTTCATGGGAAAAGTTGTTAATAGGGTTTCTGGAAAACTTGACGGCTGGATAACCAAGTTCTTGGTTTTTGGTCAGAAAACTCTGCAAACCACGTAGCCTGATAGAGCATGGAATTCTGAGGAAAATGAGATATTTCCCGGCTGTCTATAATGCTTTTTCACACAATTCAAGTCGATTTACGAATGGCTACAAAGGGCGTGAAAATTACCAAAATATTCCGGTGAAAATGCGTTGTATGCAGTCGGAAGATATCCCGTTTAGTGCAGAATTCTTTGCTCTACTGGGCTATATAGTTCACAAAATTTTGGGGCAAAAAGCCAAAGATTTGGTTTTTCAGCGGGCAAGTTTTCCAGAAACCTTATTATCAACTTTTCCCATGAAGCGACAATATGCACCTCATCTGATAGAAGATTCTTCGGGCTATTCAAAACAGTATTCAGATTGGTTCCAGCTTTTACTAAAAACAAAGTCAAAAACAAAGGAGTTCTTGTGATTATGACATGTTGTACAGCATAGATAACACTCAAACGCTTCTTTTCCGTATCTTTAATGACTGGTCCTTGCTTGGAGACGATATGAATAGAAAATGCACACAAATGTATAACTAAGATAACCCAAGGTTCTACACCATCGACTATCTTGATTCACCAACGTTAAATCACCAAGTAAGCTTTTAAATTTCATACAACCAATAATTAAATTTGTCAGTAAAACAGTGACAGATGTATTGCATGAGAACAAGAGTGAAATGTTCATGGAATATTGTTGACGATACAATACAACGACGAGTAATATTAACAACGTAATGACTACACTTACACTAACATTCAGTAATATGAATATATTGATAAAAGTGTTTACCATTGTCGGCATCTGCGATTGTCACTGTAACTTCAGTCCTTCTGTTTTTTTATTTCTTTAGTTAGGTTACAGACCATAAAATATTGGTCATCACTCGTTCTTCAATAAAAAGTTCACGGAGAAATTTCTTTTCTTAGCTATATTCAACCTACATTATCCACTTTTTCGTGACGTCTCATCTTTCTACTTCACATATTCTATTACCTTTAAGGTGCACAATTTCAATGTTAAACAACAAAAGGACATGCTATCTTGTGATGGATACAGATTTATACGATTAGAAGAATTCCACAGAAAATGTATTTTTCCAGCGTCAAAAATGATATCGCTATCTGTAATAGTAGAAAATAAGCTTCATGTCCTTTATAGTATGAGTTCTGAGTTTTAATCTAATCTAAAAAGGACGGAGGCGATTATTTGGTGAAATCGGCCCCTGTTCGAATTCCATCGAAACACACATGGTTAGATGCAGAATAAACAGAAGAACATTTCTAGCCACTCGACAGACCTTGGAGTTACT